CAGAGAGAGAGAGAGAGAGGTGTAGCTACTGCTATGGACCCGTATGTTTTGTGGGGAACTACTCACGCATCATCATGGAGGCAACAGGGTTGATGTAGAAGCCCTTCATGATCGATTCCCCCTCCGGCAGAGTGTCGGCGGAGGCCTCCAGATGGGATCGCGGAAGAATAGAGGCTTGTTGCGATAGAATAATTGTTTCGGGTCTCGCTTTGGTGGTTTCTGAATTTTAGGGAATTTATAGCATTGGAATTAGGTCAATTAGATTTACAAGGGGCCCACAACCTCAGGAGGTGTGAGCTTGTGGCTTTCTCGCACATCTCCTGCACCCCCTTCGAAGCTTCTAGTGTCTCTTCTGGTCCAGAAAAAATCATCATAAAGTTTCATCATAGTTGGACTTCTTTTTGTATGTTTTCCCGTGAAACAATAAAATAGGCAAAAACGGGAACTAATATTGGGCACTGAGTTAATAGGTTAGTTCCCAAAAATAATATAAAATTACATATAAAGAATACATGATTGATAATATAATAGTATGAAACAATCAAAAACATAGATACGTTATAGATGTATCAGGCCTCGGCTCGTGGCGGACTGGTGCGCAGTTGTTAGTGGTGGTGGCGGTCTAGCGCTATATGTGGTGATGCGGTGGCGACGAGGAGGTTTGCCGGATGAGCGCACAATGGCGGTTTGGGCCAGCCAGATCTGGCTCGGGCAATGATCGGCCCGATCTAGGCCCGATGTGTGCGGGGCGCTGGGTTCTTTGGTAAGCAGCGGAGTCCCCGGTTGTCCTCTGGCCGGGATGGAAGGAGCATCTGTCTCCAGTTCTTGTGGCTCTCTCCTACATCTGGCATAGGTGCGCATTTCTACGGACGAAAGTCTCACTCTTAGCCAGTGATGGCAACATCGGCGGATGTTGCTTCCTTGTTGAAGGCTTCACCGAGGAGTTTTGCACCCATCCCGCTCTTGAGTTCTTGTCTCGGGTGAAAACCGAGATCCGCTTATTGGATCGGCGATGGCGGCGTTCTTGGCGGCATTTCTTTGATGGAAGCACCGTTTTGGAGATTTGTCCTCTGGGCAGGAGCACCTTGTATGTGGTTGAGCAGTTGACCGAAAGCTTCTAGTGGCGAGATGTTTGCGGTGGTGCATTAGGTTGTGGCCAGTAGTTGGCCGACAGTGTTGCACGACTGGAGCACTCTAGACATGCGGGCAACGTTAGACAAGTCAGGTTGGTCGTCCTGTCGAGACCATAGTGGCACTTGCCCGCTCCTCTATCGGACATCTCTTCTCCCTCAGGTGTCGATGAGGCCGTCAAACATGCTTGTGGCGGTCATGATCAGTACAACGGAATGGTCCTCTTGGGTGAAGTTCTGGCAAAGCCGAAGTCGTCGGGCCGTGAGCGCAGATGGCGATGTATGATGACACCGACCTCCTCGGCGATGTGCCTTTCTATTTGTGTTGTGTTGGCTCGGCCTTTGGGGATTTCTGTATGTCTTGATGCTTTAGACCTAGTTTAGCTAACCGAGCACTTTCATCCATCGGACTTCTTTTTGTAAAATGGAAACTTAGCAGCTTTTCTTCTAACTTAAAAATAAAAACAAAAAACTTTTAAAAATTTAAAATCACAGGAAAGCAGTTCGAGATCTGGACGGACAAAACCGTGTCACCAGCCAACAACAAAGATGAGCACGGGACGCTTCAGCGGGGACCCTGACCTCCTTGCGGTCCTCCACGCCACGGGAGGAACAGAAAAGTAGGGGACGGACGATGGACGGGCTCGTCGTCACAGAGGCGGCAGGGCGCACAGTGCCTCGTCCCGCCCCATATGGCCCATACACCCCGCGCAACACGACACCGGACCAGCATCTCGTGTCTGTCTACGTCCAAGCACTCGTAGCACGGGCCACGGGTCAGGCACGCGATGCGATCGCCGTCCTTCCTTCTCCCTCCCTCCCTTCCCCTCATCATTAACCCCGAATCTCCGCTCCGCGCGGCGCGGGCGTCTCCCTGCTGCTTCCCCTCCCTCGCGTAAAAAAAGAGAGAGGCGACCGAAATCCTAACGGCCTGCCGCCTCACCCCCTCCAGACTGCAGTCCACGCTGGGCCGGCCTCCCCGCCGAAGCAGGACCTCCGCTCCCCTCGCCGCCGTCCCCCACCCTGGAGGTCCGTACGGACGTGGATTCTTCTTCCGCTGGTGAGTAAACACTGGTACTAGCTTGCTGTTATACAATTCTGTTCTGTTTCTTCCCTTCGTAAATCGAATCTGAATCTTCCTCTCTACTAGTAGCTCTCTCCATCATGGTAGTTAGTTGCGGGTCCGGTTACCATCTTCTTGTTCGTTCTCATAGACGATCTCTCAGATGACCTCGGCCCCATAGGAAACAGGATAGGATTATCCAAGGAGCGGCCCGGCCTTGGCTGTCAATTATACAGAACTAATACTACTGTCGATAGCAGTTTAATATGTAAAAGGAAGCAGAGATTTAGGGGGAAGTCTGAATCCCCAATGCACTCCGTGGCTAATTGCGCCATTGGCTCGAAACTTCAGAACTGATACCACCATTAGCTGGGGTAATTAGTTTCAGATGTCACACGGTGCTGCAATCTGTTCTTGGTAATTAATGGCTGGCCGGCTGCTCCTTTTCTCTGGCCTGACAGGCAGGCCACAGCTTTCCCATGATCTCTGGTAAATGCATCGTCTAGAACTGCAAGCTGGGACCCTTTTTGCCGCCCTTGTGTGAAATATTCAAGGCTGAAAAATTCTCCTGCCATATGGTGGTATTAGTAGTAGTTCCCTGCTGCCCTGGTCCACACACACTGGCTTCTTAAAAAGAACCTTGGACGCAGTAAATGTGAATCAACCTACCAATTTTTTGCCTCTCTTTTATGGTAACGTAACATGTAGTAGGATGCCTGCCAAAAGCGGCCACTTCTCATCGATAGACTCTCAGAGTTTCAGTTCCTGTTTCAGGAACTTGTTGTGGTCGTCTTGAATAGCCAATCCGTTCTCTTGGTTTCAAGTTTCCCGTTTGTAACCAACCGACTATGGAGTTGGACCTGTACTACCTTGCTTTTGAGAGTTGGGAGCATCCCTGCTCTGAAACTGTGAACCTTGGGGTGTCGCTTGAACTGTGCGAAGAACATTACTGAAAAATTAGGACACCCTGAGACTCTGTGTGGTGTCTGATTACTACTGCTTAGACTGTGCATGCATTTTATCATGTGGAACGTGGGAGATTAGCTGTTAGCACACACCCAGTTCTTACAGTGGTGGAACATACTGATTTCTAATCCTGAACAAAACCGGGATTGTCCGATCCGTGTTTTATTTAGCCTGGATCCATGTGAAATATTTCTTTTTGGTAGCTGGAAGCCTGGAACTCAAATCATTTATCATCTTGCATTGTGGGAATTCCATTTTAACTTGCTCTTTTGCGTAAAAAACGAATGTTAAATGCCACCTAATTTCTGCATATGGAATTGAATGCTTACTAATTGTATTTTAATTTTCTGCTACAAGTGGTAATATCGTGTACTGTTTGTTATGGTGCTGGGTAGATAATTGTTCCCATTCTTCTTCAGGCGTTTCACTACATTTAAACACGCAGAATGCCTCGAGGGCGAGGTTCGTCTGTGTCAACACACGAGAAGCCTAATGTTGATGCAGCAGTCGATTCTGATAAAGATAACAGCAGGCATAAGAGGAGCGCTTATTTGTTGCTGGGGTTGTTTATACTTTTCCTTCATGGATCCTGGTCTGTTTACCGTATGCAGTTTGCAAATCTTCCTTTGCCCCTTGGTGCCGAGCAGGCTGGTAAGCGGGGTTTTTCAGAGGCTTCTGCCCTTAAGCATGTGAAGTACTTGACAGGCCTGGGTCCTCATGCAGTTGGTTCAGATGCCCTTGATCTTGCTGTGCAGGTTGTCCTCCCAACCTTGCTTACTGTTTTTACCTTACAATTTCAATCTTCAGATCAATTTTAACATTGCTGTTATTATGCATTAATATGTTCTAAACATGGGTGATCACTGACACTTTCCTATTAAGGTGGTACTAGCTGTTGGGTGTTGAATTGTCCATACTAATTGCAGTGTCCTGTTTAATGAGTAGAGCTCTAGTAGGAAAGAGGCTTCTTTAAGTCTGCATTTTATTTCTTGTTAAAAATATTGTTAAGTCATAATAATCAGTTATGTGGTTGGGGGAAGCTGGAACACTTACTTTTGGGCCGTATTTTGGATGCTTGTTTATATTTGACCAAACAGTTCTATTTAGTGATAAAAATCTGCATCACGTGGTTAAATACTTCTACTAAGCTCATATTTCTTTATTATAATAATTAAAAGGGCACCTAGAAACTTGCATGTATTCAACCCATGGTGGGTCACTGAACTTATGCACCGTGTGAGTTGTTCGTTTGGCCACGATCTGCAGAAAAAAGCACATCTAGGCAAGCATGGTGGGTCACTGAACTTATGTAGTGTGCGAGTAGTTCGTTTAACCATGGTACTTAGAAAATGCAAATCTAGGTAAGCATGGTGTGTCACTGAACTTGAACACCATGAGCATTGTTCGTTTAGCCATGGTACGCAGAAAATGCATGTCTAGGTAAAAAAAATCTTTGAACACCAGGTCACTAAAGTGCAGTCAGACACTGCGAAGACATTGGATGCCAATTCTTGCCAACATTGTATGAGTACGTGTATAACCCACTTTCTCTCCCTTCTTACCTGTACCATAACCAAGATGCAAAAGGCAACACCTTCGTTGACTTCTCTCAGGCTCTCAGCCGTTCCACCTTGCAATCGCCGTCCTGATCCTGGTTGCTAGTTGCTAATCTTGTCCGTGCTTCTCGCCGGAAGTCCAGACGAGATCAGCCTTTGCTTTGACCACCAGAAGCGCAGACCACACTGGCCATGGAGGAATTGGGGGTTGAGCAAAAAAATTGAGGTCTGGTGTTCGGGCATAAGAACTAGAAAGGGGAATAACTGGAGAAGAATTACGAGTTGAAGTGAGGAGACACCCAATTATTTCTTAGTCTTATCTTTCATTTTTACTGTTCTTTTATTTGGATGGTGTTATGATACAATCGTACTGTGCGATATTGTTGTTGGAACTTATCATTTTTCTACAGCATCTATTTTTAGTTGTACTATCCATCTTGACATGTCCATGCAATAGTATGTATATGCAGAAGCAGAGAAAATAAAGAAGACAGCTCATTGGGATGTTGATGTTCAACTGGAGCTGTTCCACACAGATATTGGTGCAAATCGTCTAGCTGGTGGACTTTTCAAGGGAAAAACACTCTTGTACTCAGACCTTAAGCATGTTATCCTCAGAATTGTTCCCAAGTATTTACCGGAAGCTGAAGAAAATTTGATTCTTGTCTCTTCTCATATTGACACGGTTTCCACAACGTAAGGCTCTATCTTCTCCCTTATGAGGCAATTTTGCTATGTAATGTAATCAATATGCTTAATCATCAACATGTTAATTGGTTACATCAGATACAAAGAGTTTCCGCTTGCCTTTTTGACACTTAGTGGTCAAATTGGTACATTGTGTATTTATTTTTGTAGACGTAATATGCAATAATCCAACTTGAGTACCACATTATTATTCAATTGAGGAAGGAGTTGGTGTAGAGAGTGGATTAAATGAAATTTATGCGGAATAGGTGAGATTAGACAAATATATGGGCTCAGTCGTGCATGGTTCTTTTAATTATAAGCAGGAGATGTCGAGATCTAAAATTTGCTAAGATAGCATGACATGAAGGCTGAACGAGAATATAGCTTTGAGGCATGTTTTGAATGAACAGTTCTGTTGACGATGATTTTTACAAGTAATTTAGGAGGTATTCAGACTGTTCAAGTGTATATCTAATGTTAATAGGATGTATCTTATTGACACACTAATGCTTATTTTAAATGACACGCTAACGCTTATTTATTGCAAATACATGCACTGTAGCAGACCAACTCTTGCAATAACTTTCACTTTTTTCTTCTTCCCCATTGTCACTTTTTGGAAAAAAAATACTTCTAACTTGTATTCTTTTTCAGGGGAGGTGCCGGAGATTGCAGTTCATGTGTAGGAGTCATGCTAGAGCTGGCACGGGGAGTAGCTCAGTGGGCTCATGGGTTTAAGAGTGGTGTCCTGTTTCTGTTCAACACAGGGGAAGAAGAGGGTCTTGACGGGGCCCACAGTTTTATAACTCAGGTCACTATTTTCATATGTCACACATAAATCATGTTGTAACTGGTACATAAGTCATTGTCGTTATGCTCCAATAATGTGATTTACTAATAATTGTGCAGCACCACTGGAGAAACTCAGTACGTTTTGCTGTTGATTTGGAAGCTATGGGTATCAGTGGGAAATCCACCCTTTTTCAGGTCAGGCTCACGATTTGTTTCAGAAATTATGCTTGCATTTACAATTGTAAAAATCATAAACCTGTTTTTTATTTTAGTTTGTTGCTGATGCCTAATGCTGGTAAATAAGGTTTCTGAACATTTTACGCAAACCATGGTTTAGCTTGTCGCTGATGCATCAGAGTTTTTTTTAGTTGTTATGCATTGCTCAATTTTCACGAAAGCATTGATTTTGAACATTTTCAACTTACCTTGCTATTTTCTGTTCACATAACAGGGTACTCACCAATGGGCTTTGGAGAGCTTTGCTGCTGTAGCGAAGTATCCATCTGCTCAAATAGCTACACAGGTATGTGTTTATTTGATTCTCGAGTTTAGCTGTCTTAGTCAGAACAATTTTCACTTTTGATAGAGGTTCATTTACCCTGTCAGGTGCTGTCCGCATACATTAATTGTCCAGCTGTAGAAGTTTGAATGATTTTCCTGTTCAAAATTATTGTTGGGTAAAAAGTAAATTTATATTTTGTCCAGAAGCAGGGCACATTGGATAATATTCCCTCCGTCCCATAATATAAGAGCGTGAGCATTTTTGACACTACACTAGTGTAAAAAACGCTCTTGTATTATAGGACGGAGGGAGTAGCAAATAAACTTTGTCATGATTCCAGCAACTCTGAATCAAACAGCTAAGAGCAACATGGAGTGATTTGTACCCACTGTCAATTGAAAATGTCCTATTTAATTCACCTTTTCATAAGAAAAAAGATAGGCAATTGTTTCATCCACCTCACACCCACTTATAGAAGACAGTTCGACATGTCACTTTACTCAATCAGTGTAGTTCAATCGTAGGAGCTTGTAAATATGACATGACCCAAACTTGTAATTGCAGGATGTTTTCCGTTCTGGAGCGATAAAATCTGCTACTGATTTCCAAATATATCAGGAGGTTGCTGGTCTTCCTGGCCTTGATTTTGCATATACAGATACGACATCCGTGTATCACACAAAGGTTTGCTTTGATGACTTTATCCGTGTATGTATGTAGTACTCCCTCCGTCCGGAAATACTCGTCGGAGGAATGGATGTATCTAGACATATTTTAGTTCTAGATACATCCATTTTTATCAATTTATCCGACAAGTATTTTGGGACGGAGGGAGTATTTGTTATGAACATGATAACTAATATATCTATATCATCTACTCGGTGAAAGAATCTACTGCTCATAATTACCTGTTTGAAGAGCTAGAGATTACCTTGAGATTAAGCTATGTTGCTGCCATTCCCTATTGACGCAAAAAGGAATGTAACGAGTATACATATCTCCGAACCAAAAGTAATTTTTTGATAGGTTACAAGGTGGAAACATCACATGTGAACTTTACTTGAGGATCCAGCTGATTGCTCCATGGCCTCGTAGAGTATGAATGCGAGCTGTTTAATTCTTTTGCTCCAAAGAATACATCTTTATTTCATAACAAATTGTTGATAATAAAGAATGTACTATCCAGCCATCTTTTTCCTAGTGAGTTTTGGTTACAATAATTTCATTGCCATGAGATTGTAATCTATGTCTTCCAAACAGAAACTAGTACGAGGTGATAGCTTTAGATGTAATGGTAACTTTTGTTGATATTGTGAGTGTAAATCAATGTCAGCAGAATGGCAGCTTCAATCTCTTTTTTTAGTGGCAAACACTGTAGACTCATGATATTTCATTGCTCTCTTCTGTGCAGAATGACAAAATAGAGTTCCTGACACCTGGATCCCTTCAGCACAATGGAGAAAATATGCTTGCCTTCCTACTCCATGCTGCTTCATCACCAAAATTTATGAAAGATGCACACCAGGCAAAGCAAGAGAGCACAGAGCAGAATAATGCTATTTTTTTCGACATTCTGGTATGTAAGATTTAAAAAAATTGGTATCAAATATTATGAATGTACCATGCAATATCTGTTTTTTCGTTAAGCTAAGAGCACGTGATATATTTTCTTTTTTGCAAGTTCGCTGTAGGTCTTCATATGCTAATTTTCCAGATAATAAAGGACCATATGAATTTAACCAATTTTATAGTTTAAAAAATTGTCAGGGCATGTAGTATCTCAGGCGACAGTAAGGCCAATGAATGATGTGTGAATTCTTTATTATCAACAATTTGTGAATTGTGACTTTTGGCCTAAGTAGGGGGTATGGGTATAACTGGGGCAAAGAAGAGAAAATAAATGCCTCATATTTGGTCCTAATAGAATTAACAATATATTTACGTCATATATAGCTTTGAGGAATGACCCGATTCTTAAATGAGTTGTCCATCTTTGATGGCATGGTACGTTCTTTGATTCTGTTTGTTTAGAGCAATGGAATGGACAATGGAGTCACCCAATGTTTTTGCATGGCATCCCCCTCCTTTTTGACTTCATGATCACCTGAAGCGCCATGGTTCTGTTGTCAGACCATACCATGATTGAAACTAAACATCAAAATTAGATTTGAAGCCAGGATCAGATGTTCCTGTGCTCCCGGTTCCATATGATTCCTCGAAAACCTCTAGTGCTTTTGATAATTGGTGTTGCTTGGCTTTGCTGGCATAAATATCAACAATGGATTCCCTGAAAAGAAAACTTAGACCATGATATAACCAAGGAAAATATGCAGATAATTCTAGTACGTGTTCGCATGTATTGGTGGCATCTGGAAAATATGCAACATATTTGTCTATATCTGCAAAAACAAAGTGCACCTGGGAAACAGACAAGATATTTGTTCGTATCTGGAAAAGAATGCAGATTTAGTTACTATGATTTCTTATTCAACTGAATTTTCTTTTGTTTCAGCTTCTTACTTGTATGTTACTACTTTTGCAGGGCAAGTACATGGTGGTCTATCCACAGCGGTTAGCAACCATGTTTCACAACTCAATAATATTTCAGTCGCTCCTGATATGGGGAACATCACTGCTTATGGGTGGACGTCCTGGTCTTGTGTCCTTCGGAATAGCATGTTTGAGCATTATTTTGACGTTGATATTTTCTATCTTCTTACCGGTTGTGGTGGCATTTTCCCTGCCGCATATTTGTCCTTTTCCTGTTCCATTTGTTGGAAATCCGTGGTTAGTTATTGGCTTATTTGGTTCACCTGCACTGCTTGGCGCATTCATTGGTCAGCGTTTTGGATTTATTCTCCTGAAGAGGCACATTCAAGAAGTGTATTCAAGAACAAAGCCAGGTCTAACTGGTAACACGATGGATTACATTGTTGGCCTGGAAGCTGAGAGGTGGATTTTCAAATCTGGTTTTGTCCAATGGCTTATAGTTTTGATACTCGGAACCTATTTGAAGGTCGGCGCATCCTATATAGCACTCATCTGGCTTGTTTCGCCTGCTTTTGCATGTAAGTTGGGGTGACTATCTGGGAGTTGTGTTTTTTTGTGTGGGAGACTATCTGAGAGTTAATATGTTAATATTCAACTTTGAGTATTAATGGCTGTTGTTTCGTTGCAGATGGTCTTATGGAAGCAACACTAACTCCTGTAAGGTCACCTAAACAGCTTAAGGTCTTTACATTGGTCCTGGCTTTGGCTGTGCCAGTTATGTCATCTGCTGGTTTGTTTATTCGCTTGGTAGATGTGATGGTTGGCAGTATTGTACGTGCTGATAGGTAAATATCTAGATCCTGCGACGTCCAAACTTGTTCTTTATTTTCTCATTTGCTGTGTCAGTTAGGGCCATGATTAGTTTCATACTTAAATTCTGTTAACGGAGAGTATTGTGTCAGTTAATCTATGCTAACCAAACTAATTTCAACCTCGGTGCACACTTATATATGCAGGAACCCTGGTGGACTACCAGACTGGCTTGGAAATGTAGTAGTTGCTGTTGCCATCGCTATAGTCGTGTCCTTCACGTTTGTGTATCTTCTTTCGTATGTCCATATTTCAGGTAAACCATATCATGCTTGATATATCATCACATTTTGCTTCCGTTACATGACTTATCAATTTTTGTTTTCTTGTTTATAATTTTTTTTTTGCTTTGATTTGGGACATATACTGTAAGGGGTGTGTTGGAATGATCATTAAATATTGCCCCTCAAACTTTCATCATGCTTTGTCATTCTGTGTTAGAGTAATGCCAAAATGGTGCTAAATTTAGAGGCCACCAAAGGGTGATCACGAACCCACACTAAGAAAATACTACAAACCAAAATTACCGAGCAGCTTCAAAGCTAAAATAATCCAAGGAATGATCATAGGTTTGTTAGGATTGTGGTTTTCCCTGGTCAGAAGAAGGCCCCCCTCCCTCCCTCTCTCTCAAACATTGCTGTACTCAACAGCTATCATTGCATCCAATTTTCGTACTTCTCCAATATGTACATACATCTGCGGCCTTCTCCAACACATCGAAATAAGCTGATATCCGAGATAATGTTTTCTGCAGGTGCCAAAAAAACACTTCTTTCTGTGTTGTGTGCTTTCTTTGGTCTTGCCCTTGTACTGGTATCAAGTGGCATTGTTCCAGCATTCACAGAGGATATTGCTCGTTCTGTAAATGTAAGCATTGCTATGAAAACTTTGACCACCGATATTGCTATAAATATTTGGATTGGGAACTTGGAAGATCATGTGCATAACTTGGTCTGGAGAATTACTTCCAAAATACCACTCCCTCCAGTCCATATTAATTGTCACTGATTTAGAAACTAGTGGTCAAAATTATATTTTGAAGACCGTGTTAATATACACAACATCACTTTTTCGTGTATGGGAGGGAATATGAGTTTATCTTGACACATGCTATCCTAATATTTTGAGCCGGTGTTTAACTGTTTTTACTCATATGATGTTGTCATGTGATTTCCATAATTTGTCGTCATTTGCTATCTCTGTAACCTGAAAATTATAATTTTTATTTTAAAACACCCGGTATCCTTTTAAGATAATCTCTTATGCATATCATAAAGGAGAGCCTGTTCTTCAAAGAAAATTGGAAGTAAATGTTTACCCCTTCCAATTGAAATATAAGTTATTGTAGTTTTGTGTATTAGGATTAAGGAATGCAAGAAATGACTTTTGTGTCCTTCAAACGTTCGCAAACACAATGAATTATCTTGCATTGCCATTAACCGTGTAGTATCAATTGCCTATGTAGAAATGCCAATTGTTGAGCAAGGGAATAATAGAGAAATCAAGAAACAGATTAAATTGTCTCGGAATTTCTATTATTTCAATTTTCATAGGCATAAAACACCTTATATTAGCAAATAATTTCTGGGATGTTCCTGAAAATTTGTTTGCCTGAAATTGTCATAATGTTCCCCATATTTGTATTAAAAAGCTCATACTAGCAATGAATACTCCTACTTATTAAATGATAACTGATTCACTATTTCCTCAGGTTGTGCATGTTGTTGATACTACAAGAATGAATGATGGAAACACAGAACCATTATCCTATGTTTCCCTGTTCTCGAACATGCCTGGAAAGTTGACACAGGAATTGATGGACCTAAGAGGGGAAGAGTTTTCTTGCGGAAGGAATATGACAACTGATTTTGTGACATTTACTGTGAAGTATGGCTGCAGGAGTTACAAAGGGAGCAATGCTGGATGGAGCAAATCAGAAGTTCCAGTGCTCCATGTTGAAAGCGATTCTGCTGCCGATGATGCCCGCAGAACAGTAGTATCAGTTGATACCAAGTCATCTACACGGTGGTCACTCGCAATCAATATGCAGGAAATCGATGACTTCACTGTTCAAGGTGAGTTACACTTAAATAGGTCGATTAATCTAGGTGAAGTAGATCGTTGTTATTTGGCATCTAATTGACCTCTACATTCGTTATTTTACTCAGTGGATTCAGATAAGTTGGTTCAACTGGGTGGTAAGAGCGAGGTCGATGGATGGCATACAATCCAGTTTGCAGGCGGCAAGAACGCGCCAACAAAATTCCAGCTAACCCTTTTCTGGTCAAGCAATGCGACACAGGCATCTCCAAAGGAAGCTAACGCAGAGGACCCTCCTCTCCTGGTAAAACTAAGAACGGACGTGAATAGGGCCACACCGATGGTTGAGACGGTTCTCGAGAAGCTTCCACGCTGGTGTGCAGCTTTCGGTAAGTCCACATCTCCTTACACGCTGGCGTTCTTGACCGCTCTTCCTGTCGATATTTAGGCGACGCACATTGTGTGCCCCAACATTGTAGGGTATTAACAGTTTGACATAGTGTTGATTTACGCTGTATCTAGCTATTCGTATTAGATTCAATTGCATTCATAGCTTCAAACTTATAGGGCAGCCCCGTGTCAAAAATGTGCCTGATGAATGAAAGGTCGGTCTGTTTGATGTCGAAAAACTTGAGGTTAGAATGGTGGTTGCAATAAAGACAGGTGTTGTGTGATGTTACTTATGGAGGCAGTTGAATGGGCATGGCCAGATCAGAGACATTCTGTATCGTCGATTTTTTGATTGGTGTGTATAGTGATAGTTTGGTCCCGTGTCTGAATCGTGGACAAAGTTGGCTGTTCCAGTCCAAAGTCCAAACTTGAGGAAAGTGTCGGCTCGATCATGGGACGATGAACATGGATACAGTTGGGTGTTAAGTGTGTTACTTTTTTGGAGTCCCCACTGGCAGTGCCAGCAGTAGACTATCCAGACAGGTACAGTAGCTCTTCACAAGCTATAGTGCCTCAAGCATGCAGTGCTCAACCAATGCTTCTGATAGGAGTGCTATACCTGAAGTTCTGAAGAAACAAGAAAGCCAAGAACTATGGACGTATGTACTCAGCGGGTAGAGGTCGAAGATTAAGTAACAAGCATGAATACGGCTAAAGACATGGTATAACTACTCTACAAAAACATAATATAACTGAGTGGTGCGGAAGCAGTATGCCGTGTGCTCATAGAGAAGTCTGAAAACCTTCATCTGGAATGCCGTCCGATCCATATTACTAGTTGTTTTAGATTTGTTTAGATACGCTATTTTTGCAGAATTGTGGATGATGCTCCGAGGAAACAACTCAAATTCCAAAAGGACGAATAATGCAGTAGCAGCAGTAACAAATTATACTACATGTCCATAATCCAGACATTGGACTGAAGCCAGCAGACCAGCCAAAGAGGGAACCGAGGATACGTTGCCATCATCAACTCGTCGATTGATTAATGCGCGCTGCTCCCGGCGCACAAAAGACGGTGAGGGCAGCAGTGCCCGAGGCCGTTCGTGCGCATGGAGTCTTCCATTCCACCAGCCCTCGCGCCCAACCGAGGCCTTGACAAACAAGAACGCACGCTCTCCTCCCCTCCCCTCCACTAGCTTCTCCCCGGGAACACCGCACCGAGCCCCGGCACCGGAGCAAGTGCCGCCGGTTTTCCGTGGCCGAAGCTCGTCGTCACGTACGTGCCCGGCCCGGTCAAACCAACATTTTTCTACAAAAACGTTTATCAACAGGGCTTGCGTTGGGGCGTGCGTGCGTGCAGGCGTCGGGATCGGCGAGGCCGTGCAGTGTCCATCCTACTGCTACTACATCGATCGCGATGTTTCTATGTCTCCCTGTGGATTGAACCTGTTGCTGTGTGGGCACTGAAAGCAAGGCGTACTAGCTAGTACTAGCTGGCTTTTCTATTTGGCTAGCTATAGATGCGTTGCGTTGCGGTGCGTATGGGCTGTGGAGTGGTGCTGGGCTCAAAATTGGCACCCCCACGTTATCATGCTGCGTCCATAGGTTGCATGGTTTAGGATCGCTGGGTATAGGATTAGGATGCTACGAGGATTGTTGCATGCGCGCGCACGTGAGACAGGGTTGCGTTGCGTGGAGTGACTTCCTTGGGAGGAGGACAGCACCACTACTGCACTTAATAGTGCATTTATAAGCTTATTAATCATGATCATCACAAAGGAAACAAGCACTCTCTTGCGCCCACGGTACTACTTCAGTTTTCGCGGGAGAAGTACTAGTAGTCCTAGGAGTAATCTTGTACCAGCTGCACCACCTGGTTAAAAAAAATCACCGGTTGGTTTTGTAGGTTCCTTGTCCTTGCCATATGGCAAGCAAACGTACACACCACCATCTCCTCTTCCCCCATAGTAGATTCTAGTATCACTTTCTTGGCACCTCGCCGGTGAGACGCGGGCGGGAAAAGAGTGAGCATTGCCCGTGCGACGGTGCAGGCGGAGAGAGCTACGCGGTCAACGTGGGGGGACAGGCGTCAGATGGCGCCCCACACGAAGCGGCGGAACATTCGCTCGCGCAGTCTGCCCTGCCTGCCGCTCTCGTCACCGCGGCATCACCCACCACCTGCTATACCCTCGCCAATTAATTACTAGTGCTCGAGGCGAGGCGAGGCAGGGAGGCCGGCCCGGCATGGTGCAGTGTGCCACGGCGCCCCCACCGCGCCCTCGCCCTCGCTGACTTCTTGACTCTCTCGTGCGTGCGTGCTGACTTCTCTCCCGTCATGTGGTGCGGCGCGCTAGCTAGCTGTCCGTGTGCGTGCGTGCGTGTGCTGCTTGGCTCAGCCCGACACGCCGGGCCGCACGCTCCGCGATCGCACCTGCGCACCGCACCCCACCCCACCGACGCTAACCTTTCTTTATCTCGTACCGCCTGCTTGCTTGATCTCTCATGTCATCTCACCTCTCGCGCCAACATTTTTTCGGCATCACACACGAACGGGAGCTTGTAGAGTTGGTCCTGTAAATAAACTAGCAACCAGAGGCCGATGGATGGACGTGTGCAGATGTGAATTATATGGTTCGACCGACGTCCATCTGCATTCTGCAAGCATCACCCGCCCCTTGTTTCAAGGGAAAGCAACCGGCCGGCAGCAGACAGGAATGGGTGCACGCACCGGCACCGGCGAGAAAAGAGATACTGGAAAGAAACATTACCGTCAACAAGACAGACCGCGACCAACCGGGACATACGGGCACCAGCACCGCGAACAAAATCTGTGGTTATTTCAAGTGACAAGGACCCTTCAACCGTGCAGTAGTTGCTTTGTTTTCGCTTTGCCATTTGCAGAGGTGGCTTGGACGCATCGCTCACCCACGGTGCCACAACGCAGAGGTGAATGGAAGTTTTCCCAAGGATCTGTGTCGATCACGCACAGAGACTACGGGAGCTTTCAAGTCCTGTGGCTGCCGGCCGGCCGGCCTCTGTATGTGGTTTGGAACGGAAAGCGCACGTACATGGCCTCTCTGGCTAGCTCATTGGAAGAGGCTGTTAGTACGTAGTACTCCCTCTGTAAACAAATGTAAGAGCGTTTAGATCACTATTTTAGTGATCTAAACGCTCTTATATTAGTTTACGGAAGGAGTACTATGTTATGATAGTGGTTTGGGTCCCCGTACCATTGACAGGCATAGTTTTGCAATCCCGATGGACAAGCCAAGCAGTTAAGTCCACTATTAATTAGTGCGAGCACGTACTACAGGCCCGACACTTGCGGCAGCAAGCGTGGCAACTTGTTGCACCGGAAGTCCTAAACTTGGCTACCAAACCAGCCCCTTGACCCGCCATCATGTCCATCCCGAAATGCTCTGCGTACGATCAAACTACACACGGCCTTCCACTCTTCTTTACAAACAGGAACAGAGAAGCGACTCCGGTTGGTAGAGCAGCTCCAATGGGGCGACCCATTTCATATGCTGGCATTCGTTTGGGTCGGTGCGGACATAAAAATCGGCCCAACGCGCCGACTCAAACGGACGTGTGTTTGCTTTTCGTCCGCCTGTCGACCCATTCCCGGTTTATTTTTGAGCCGGATTTGCATCGGCGCGGACACAAGACGGACGCGTGCGTGCGCCTTCTCCTCCGCCGGACCCGCTGGTCGGTGACAGACCCCACCATTTCCCC